TCATTGATTTATTTTATTTGTCTATTTGTTCACTACTGCCTACGGTACTTCCCCCATAAAGTTATGGAAGGACATTAATTAAACATGGAGAACCACAACAACTTTGCGCAGTCGTTGTCCACGAAGCTTGAAGCTTTCACTACGATCGCGTCATACATCAACAATAGAGCCATGGGGGTTCTACGTTTTGCGGCCACGTGGGAGCTCTACCCTTTCCAAATAATACATTAGAAAGTAATAAAAAGGAATCCCTGAATATTTGATACAGAAGAAAATTCCATTAATTTAAAGGCTTGAGTCAGTATTATTGATGTGTTATTTTGTTCGAAATTTAGACAAGAAGTGCAATGAGGAACATTAGTGGAGGAGAAAAAGCAAAAGCACCATAGAAAACACTAAATTTCCCTTGTGAGGTCGGCCGTGGTATGACGGAGAGACACAGCGCTGCGAGGAGAGGGAAAACGCGAGAGAGCACGTCGTACGCGAGAGGGCGCAGACGCCACGTATGCAGCAATTTCTAAGGATGACAGCACACAAGGCAAGGCTTTATGGTAGGCGCGGAGGGTCGCGCCTCCTGCGCCTAGAGGTCCCTCTTCCACTCCATGATGGACCACTTCTTGGCACTTACCATTCGTCTCAATCCGTGGCTTTCATTAGGAGGGAAACAAAATAAACGTAATAGGGCTACAGAAATGGGTCTTATGATAGGCGGGGGTACCGTGTAGACCGAATTTCGAACAAAACAACTTTTCTTACTCCAAAGTTTCTCCTTTTCCAGAAGCTAAGCCGACAGAGGAACTCAGGGCTGGGCCAGGATCTACTCGAAATTTGGTACCCCCCCCTTCCACCCCACATAGCATCCGAAAATAGGACCCACACGTCGGCGTACTGCTGCTGCAGCCAATAAATATCCTGCATCGCTTCCAAAGTGCTAGTAATCCAGTTTAGAATTAGAATATAGATAGAAACAGGTTGGCAACCGCTTTTTTTTACCCAATGACCAGAAGTTCTTCATATTCGCTAAGAGGTCCAAGAATTATACTTGTTAATTGATTTAGGGGTCAATCATAACAGTGAAAAACAATGGATAAATGGACCCAGGATGACACTAGATTGATTGACTAAGAAATGGGCTTACTTAGAGTAAGAGGGTTAAGGAAGAAAGGCTAAGTGCTGACTCCATCCTCGTGAACCATTACCGACTGGTCACTGGAAAAAAGAAGCTCAAAGAGCACGCAAGTAGCTAAGAATCTCTGAAGATATTCCTACAGCCGAGGCCCAGCGCAACAGGGGTGGGCGCAGGGGGCACAATGGGGAACTACCAGGTTTATTTAAAAAAAACCCTCTCGAGCTAGAAATTGCTCGAGCGGGTCAAATACGGGCATAATCAAAATGGTAATAAAAATTATAAATTATTGATAGAAACAAAAATGATCACAGGTATACACACGTTACTCAATTGTAAACAGCCAAGCAACAAATAACAGCAATGAGTTGTGAAGATGAAATGGTGCCAAGAGCCGAACCGTGCGAAAATTGCGTCGAAACGACGGCCGGGCGCTCGCCGGGGTCGCCACGATCGATACCAGCTTGAAAAAAAAACCGCAAAGAAACGACCAATCGGTGACCGGCCACCATCAACTTAAAGGCGACCACCCGTAAACGCACCCTGCTAGTCGTTGTCTGTTTTACATACGAATAGTGCTTATTGATTACTACTGAAGAAGTGACAGCGACTGATAATATTATTGTCAAAACAGTGGCAACGTTACGCGCAGGCATTCCCCTTCTGGTGCAGGATTGTGGATGAGGATTTGAAAGGCTTACTTGCCGTAAATGTAGGAATACCGCTTTGAAGGCTTCTTTAGTTACACTATTATTACGTTTGTTTACCTTTGAGGCAGCGGCAAGGTCGTTGTTTTCACTATTCCCTTCGTCATCTCCTGGAGGTGCTCAGTGGAGCTTCCCCTACCTCTACCATCACGATCATTTCTGTTGAAGTGCTCGACCCTAGGACTCTAGCACCATATGACACACTTTGATACCCCTCTAAGCTTCCCCAAGGCTACTGTAGAATGAGCAAGGACGATCACGTGTAGGGCTGATCTGACTGCAAATTCTGGCATTTGCTTACATTTAGCACATTCGCGGAACTACGTGAACTCCTTAACAACGACGCACTCGAATGGCGCCGCATACGGTTCTCGCCGAAAAACGAACTCCAATCAATTCTGCATTGAACTTTCGCAAGGACCGTCGACCGTGTAAGTGTACGGGTTCTTGCAACGTGCCATGAAAATTTAGAGTGGACCAGCAGTAGAAAAAATGGCTCTCCATTTCATCACTACTACGAACACAGTCGTTACTGTGAAATCTCGGCGTTGATCTGCCTCCATTTGGGATGCGCCACGCAATCGCCTTCTACACGAAATTGCAGTGACATTTGAATATGATTAAGCCTACATAACATTTAGGCGCTGGTTAACGCACTTATTTCTGTCATGCTGATGTCAATGTGCGACAACGGAGATAGACGGTTTTTTGGCTTGAGGAATTCACGGGTACTTGAGTCAGAAACGTGTGTGCAGTGGAAATCCATTAGTCAGGAAACCACCGCTGCTCAAAATGATCGAATATAGCCCTTTTACTGAGATATTTGGCCTTATCCGGGTACATGTAGGCCATTGTGCCACAGTAACTTCGCATGGAAGGATTCTCCAGATTTCGGCATAAGATTGACTTAGTGAGAGGTTTTTGCCTTAGAGCTCTGACGAGGGCTCAGTGCGGGACAGGGTTCGCGATGGACTGGAGACCGCAGCATCGAATTTGTTTCGTAGAATAGTGTAAGGGTCTGATGGAGCCTCTACTCTCATGTGGAAAGAATTCGTTCTTTCTGTTGAGGGAGTTCTAAGAAGCCATTGAATATCCCTCTTGGTTCTACCGCCATCTTACCAGGAAAGATGATGGATCGAAATGGCCAAATGCAATGAGGCATTCGCTGTTGGAAGTGTTTTTGGAGGCTAATCTTCAGTCTACTTCCCAGACTACCAAGCAATCTTTCGAAAGAAGCTATGAAGCAAAATAGAGCCGCTGTAATGGGCCGGGCGTACGGGTGAGAGATCGTGGGATCAATTCCCTTCCAACAGGTTGTCCATTTTGCCTTCGCAGCACCATCGTGATTGAAAAAGGCTTCCAACTACGTGGTTTGATCAACGCTTACCTACAGTCAACCCGCTCAAAGAGTTTTCGAAGAGTTTCTAACAAGTAGCGCCAAACTTGTTAGGAACTACTGGAGACTACCGGACCATTACCACCGCCCCATTTTGCTTCACAACTTTGTTCAGGAAATTGCTGGCAGATTCGGGAAGATTCGATGCAGCCGAAAAGCGCCGTGACTACGCTTCGACTCATGCAATTCTTTTCCGCTTTAGATCGATGTCGGTTGAAATAGAACTAAACTAAACATGCCTCATTTGGTCACTATCCCATCGTGCACAAAATGTACTGTTGTATCGGCGCATTACTCGCGAATTTTCCATATGATCAGACAAGATGCTGTAAGTTCCCTTCACTTTTCGATGGAAAATAAATGACTCATCTCAAACTAAACGAGACACAACGACACAATGGCCAGTTGAAGAAGTACTTGATGGTTTCGGCGTGACACGGATGTCCTGGACAATGTGGCCCCGTTCTAGCAACCAATCTACATATTCGCTATAAGAAGGCATATCGGGGCAACATAATTTGCGTCACATTCGACGGAAACAGTCGACCATCATGATAATTATAAAGGAGAAGATGAAGTGGACCCATTTATCTAGCATGTTAGTTGCTGGAAGACTGGGATTTACCCTTTTGCGTAAGCGGGTAGGCAAGAGGTGGATCAGTGGGATTATTGGATAAAGGGCAGAAGAAAACAATTCTGGAGAGGCCGAGTCGTTCTCAACGCGTTGGGTATGGGGTCAACCCAGAAAGATTTCGTGTCACCAGGAGTCATGCTCGATGGTTGCAGAACTGGGGTGGAGTCGCCGTCGAAGACACCATCCACAGGCTAGGTGAGAGGGACGACGGACTACTTGAATTTCTCAGCCCTTTAAACCGCCTCTGCGCTCCCTCGCGGGTCCCTCTCTCTCCAAGGCTTATTGTTAGTCCTAGGGCACTCACCGTTCTCTAATCAGTCTGTGCTCTAGCCATCGCTGCAGGACCATTGAGGAAAAATCAAGTAGTCCGTAAACCGAGATGAGAGGAAGAAAGAGCTCTTTAAGCCGATGTAATTCGTAAGAGACACGCTATGTCGCCACGCCACATCAATCTGCCGTCGATAGGGAACAACCACAAATTTCAAGAGAAACCAGCTGTTACGCTCCAATTCTGCGATACATATAATTAGAGGCTGAAGGAACGATCAAATCACCACACCATTTATGCCATATAATAAGACAGACTCTGCGGTAGTGCCAGCATTGCATCATCAATTGGGGAGCTCTAATAATCGTAAATTCCTCCTAGGAACGAGATCAGGGACGGCAATTCGTAAATCTCTATAGTAGCACCTCTCCAACACCACCAATTGCTCGTTCTCTTTTCGCTCCAAAATAAACACAGAATCACCTTTATATATCACTATCGCAACGAATAAGAAAATACAAAGTAGTATCACATCAAAGCATTAAAACGGTTCTCGATGACATCGTAAGAGAGTAAAACTAAACTACGCGCAAGTAAAAGGCAGTACATACCTTACAAGCCTAGTAAATTCATCCATGCGAAGCTAAATACACATTGTTAAGCAGACTCATACTACCTGGTTTCGCTTTAACCGTCTCATTTTGAAACCGGCTTGAGAAACAGTTAGAAAGAGGACAACACTGAACTTATCCGAACAAAGGAAAGAAAGGAATGTTTGAGTTCTCGAAAAAGAAATACCTCGACATGTAACATTACTAAACCACAAAGAGAGCTCAGTGAAAATGAACAAGCTTCGAACGTTCTCACATTTACTGCTGTGGCGTGTTGTACCCTTGTTGTGGTGTATTGTAGCCTGGAGCGAACGGGTTTTGTTGCTGTGGTGGGGGAGGGAATTGGCCATATTGCTGATAATTCGGAAACGCTCCAGGGAAGGTCGGGTATGGATTGGCAAAGTTTGGTTGGTATTGTGGCTGGTACAAAAATGGCTGAGGCTGACCTGAAATAGAAATTATAACCATACAAAATTGCTCTCTGCAACAAAATCTCAGGATGACTTCGAAGATTTTCAGGTTCTATGAACGCTTCCATTCAGAGCTAAGGCAGTAAAAATTAGGTTTCAGTCACATGCCTTTTGTCACACTTCGTGTTTGTTAGACGCAAACAAATCTGAACTAGTAAAACATCACAAAGTACCGTACCATATGGCACGGGCTGTTGATAATATCCAGGATGTTGAAGCTGAGGTGCTGGAGCAAGCTGTTGCATTGGTGCTGTCGGTGTTCCACCAGGGACGGCTGCAGGGAGTAATAAATAAATTATAAAGGAGAAACCACACAACAAACATTCATTTATATAGGCACTACACAAATACTTTAGCAGATCTCATCTCGTCTGGTTTGTAAGACATCTGAGTTCAGTGACGTCAAAGTTGTAACGCACAACACAAGCTTTGAAACACTGACTAGTGAAGCAAGCAAAAAGAACGAAATCATACATATCCATATTATATTTCAATCTTCATCTTCGTACAATAAGACCCTGACCCAGCCAAAATATAGGGTTCCTACTTCTATGGTTTCTTTGCCGAGCACTTTTCGCTTTCACTTACGCTTTTCGAGTAAATGTAGCACACTAGCGCAATAATTTCCTAGTTTCCAGAAAATTAAAATTTACACTTCATCGAGAATTCGAAGAAGTAGAGTGAAAATCAAAAACTGATCGAAATTGAAAACCTATGAAGTGTTCCCATCACAACTGAATCACATGTGTTACTGATACTGACTCGTGCCTAAACTAGATTTTGAAGGACTTAAAATGTTCCTCTAAAATTTTGGAAACTAATCCTCCTACACCAACAAAAATCCTCGAGAACGTAAAGGGGCCTCCTCAAAATCAAGAAAAGTGATACACTCCCGGGATCAAAAATAATGCGCCAATATTTCTTATACAAACTTGAATGTTCACTTAATATAGGTCAGTAACAACTGAGGAGAATAAATAGATCACGGGACGGTAATAACAGATTCTCTTAAGAATTCAGTCTACATCATATAGTTTTAGTGAAAATTCACCTGAACCCAATAAGAGAAGGGCTGAAAAAAACGGGTTAAGGATACAGCTTCCTCAAACCCTGTTCGGTCCAGATACGAAAAATTACCACACGGCTTACGATTTCAAGGAGACTACTGCCACAGTAATTACTCACGTGATAAATAATCAGTTGTCAGTGAAGTGCAAAATTGATTGAATGAGAGCGGCGGCCATAGTTTGCGGATCTTGCAATTCTGCCTTATGATAGTAGATACTTGTCAATCGCATGGATCTGTTCCAGTTAGGGGGGGGGGGCAATGATGCAGTTTCTCGGTGAACTCGAACATTCCAGCTTTTCACGCATGTCAAGTGACTGCCCTCACCCCCACCCCCTAGACTGGCTACACTCCCCCTGGCTCAGGAGTTACCCTAGCTCTTCTGGAAAACTGCATCATGATGTCCTTCCTAACTGGAATAGACCCAATCGCATGTGCGATCGCGCGATTCGCATGTCGCTGTAACTCTCAATCCATACTTAAACAGCAGGCAATCGCAAAGTATGACCGCGGCCTCAGGGTTCTAGTTGGATTTACTGTGAGAAGTTGATCACAGAAAATATAGAGTTAGCTTATGATGACAGAAGGCTGTTCTTTCCCACCTCACATGAATTTCACAGACCGTTACTACCTCGGAAAAGAATTGCATTATAGAAAAAATCGTACCTTGCAGGCTCTGTTGTGTTCGCGGTGGAGGAATTGGTGGCTCTACTTCAGTGCGAGGAGCAGGCGGAGGCGGACGAGGAGGAGGCGACTTAACCGAACCTGAATGACGCGTATTTACCAACTTTAGTAGAATATATTTATATACTAAGAAGGGCGAGCAGTTATTCACTTACTACCACCTCCTCCACCACCAGATCCTCCGGAAACGATATTCTGCTGCATTGAGCGCATCAGATCCTCCTTCTCCGTCTGACGAGCAAACGAAAAGTCGCTAACTTTCTGTTGAAGCCGCACCAGTATCGGGGTAAGATCGTTGTAGAACTGAAATAGACAGTATAAGAAAAAAGCTGAATTTGACGAGAAATTAAGAGTGATTACTGGGGCTGCTTCAATATGAATGCTTCAGAAACTAAACTACAAACCGGATCCCGCTCGACAGATTCTATTTCTTACAGGATACTTTTCAAGTAACTGAGCACAGTGCGGAAAAAGTCCTCCTCGTCGGCCTAATCCAGAATTTAACTTTTCGCCATGTTAGCACTCAAATGTCACTGTGGTTACAAATATGTAGAAGCCGAATATGTGGTAACATCCAAAAATGTGCTACGGCACAGTTCTTATAGTATTGAACGCCATAACATTAGGCCAATGAAATAGGCTAGATATGCATGTGCCTGAACTAACCTTCGTTCCTTCTTCCAGATTTCCTTTCAGTTCATGGAAAGAGTCAGCAGCCGTGGCCAGCGTTTTGAGCACACGTTCTCTTTCTGCACCCGTACCTGACCCTGATTTTTCACTTGTGAAGCGAGTATTCCATGTCTGAAAGCATCTTATGCTAACCAACAACATGAAGAAGAAGGGCAAGATCCAAGAGTATTGAAAATGATTGAAATTACCTGAACTTCATCCATAATGTGATCCTGCTGTTTGATACTCTGCTCCACTTGTTCTTTCAGGGGACCATAAATCTAGAATTTAAACTTTGAGAGCCCAAAAAGCTGATTGCAACATACAAAATCATGAGGTCACCTCCTTGGATTTTCTCCTTGGATATCTGCTCTTCGTTGAGAATCTGACTTTCAGCCATTGCTCGCAGAAAGGTCATCGGCAATGTCGGAACGAACGGCTTTGAAATCCTGAAACACTACTCAAATAGCTTGACTTGACTAGAAGCAGTGGCAAAGCGCTTCATACCTTCTCCTAACTCCCCTTGTCTCGTTGTACTTATAATGTTCCTGCACTTGGTTCAATCAGTTGCACGTAGTTTTGTCACTGCCTCAGACGACCCCGCCAACTGTGTGAGTGTGTTTTGACTGGGGGATGGAAGTGCGCAGTTCCACCTTTAGTTCAATTAAATTGAGCGTTAGGAGGCATCAAGACAAGGCACAAAAAATCATTAAGAAATTTGAAAAAAACTGAGCCAAGAATCGATCAAAATATTAACCTCATTTCTTACTCAGCATTTCGATACCAGCTCGATTCGTCTCGAACTTTTCCTTAACCATTTTGTCCGCATTCGAAGCTGTGTGCAGTATTCCTCGGTACTTACCGATTTCCTTTAAACATTTTTATTCTCATTCAACATTGAGTTATATTCCAGGACATACTTCAGACATGAAGATGAGAAGTCGGCGGTATAGAAGGCTGCAATTTAAAAGATGTTTAACATTGACGCTACTTAAAGGACGAATTCACGATGAAAAAGCAACCCATTTCAAATTAACCTAGGGATGGTGAGTGGTACACGAAAGAAGGAAGAACCATGAGAAACGGCCCAGAACCCGAGAAATGGGACCCCTTCCTTGCCCGTTGATTCGAGCATTGATGCGACTCTCATCGCTGTGCCCTCTTCAACACTACGCTCTCTCAGCTATCTAATCACTCGCCACGTATTGAACTACGGCGAGTGATCAGATGATCGGTGGGCGGAGATCGCCGGACCCGCCAGCTTTGAGGCATGATAGGTCGCCGAGGTCAAATTTTTCCATGCGAATTGCGCGTCAGTTCGCACCCTCAGGAGGTCCGTGGGTCCCTCAACTAGGTCAGTTTCCCTTTCTTCGACCTTCATTCTAATCGTGAATTCCTCCTTTAAGCGGAACAAAGAAGGAACGTCCTAATGAGGCACACGCAGCCAAGAACATCCGAGTACTCAGCTTGAACCGAAATTTTCATAGTACCTGTAACAGCGGCCCAGTCAACTGCTCACTGCTCATGCGTGACCATTTCGTCCCGAATTGACGACGAAGATTGTCATCACTTTCCTTTTCTCGATAGCAATTTGCGGTTGGTCTGCCGAATAAACATAGTTTGTGAGAGTTTTTTTTCAATTTGTAAAGCGTGAAGATTTTGATAGCCACAGAATGAAATGGCAGTTTAATTATTATACATACTTCATCCAGAATTTCTTCGTTTCGTTTTATAGAGTCCTGGTAATTCGCTGAATAATCGCTGCAGCTCATTGATGCCACCTGCTTGTTTCACCTGAAGCAGAACATTAACTTTGAAACCGCACAAGGTTTTAACGGCAGCTTCAAACCTTAGCAGGATTTCTGCTTTATTGATTCGGGCAAGGTGTCCATAGACGTGACATCGTCCAGAGCAGCTGGCAGATTCAAGGAAGGCCAGGATACTGAAATGAATGAATTAAAAAGATATTCTCGAAATAGATCCGAACTCATAACTAGTAGCTAAAGGATAACTTTTGAAAATTTAAATTCGCGAAGTTAGGATGGCCCGATTTGTTGTAAATGCAAAGGAATACGGCTGCGAGGCAACAAAAGCAGTTAAAAAAAATTACAAAATTTTCACTTGAAATTCCACAAAGATCACGACGATAGATAAGATGATGGTCATTTCACTAGCTAAGTTCCGATATAAAGACCATATCAGGGAAAGATGCCCACTACATATTACAAACGAATAAGTGGATTGAATATTACCCTAAAAACTGCTTTCTACCCCGCTACTCCACATTTTCACGAAATCAGATCCCTTTGGAAAGACAAAAATATAGCGTGCACATGATTTAGCCTCAAATGTTGATTGTTTGGCACTACAATTATAATTAACTAGAAGACTGATGCATGGCCACAAAAGATTGATTCCAACGATACATAAAGGCATACCCATTCATTAGCTGAGTGTGCTCTCGAAGCCTTCCCGTTTCAATATTCACCAATTCCGCTTTACGGCCCTCATAACACTGCATTGCATTGTGAACTTGTACTGGTACGACACTTGCGAACATGTCTAAAAATTTTACTGAGATTCAAAAGAAAACAAACAGTGATGTATGTTACGCCACTCTGAAGCGTGGGGAAATTGGATGCGTGACAGGAAGCGCCTTTGCCAAGGCAGCCCGTGGCAAAGCAGGGAGAGAACGGAAATCAGCTATGCGTTCGTGGTACTAAAAATTGAGAATAAAAAAAGAGAAAAAAAAAAAGGAAAACTTCGGCGAGCGAAAGGTCATAGATGATTAAGCACTTCAAGAATGGTGAGTAGCAGCTAAACTGGTTTGAAGATATAGAAGTGCTACCCGCAAAAAAAGAAAAGAATATATGCGACAGTGCTTTCAATAGCAGAAAACTAAAAGGAGTATGAATGGAGTGTTGATCTTATTGTGAAGGAAAAGGAACAGCTACAGTAATCGCATTCAAGTTACTTACAATAAAATCATTATCCTTCTTAGCTGCGTCACATTAGTGCCCGAGCCATGAACCCATTGATATAATAAAGATACGGATCCGTGAATGCTACCGAAAAAGATATGATTTGAACGAATGTACATTAAAAAATACCCTATTCATAGCTGATGTATGCTGTTCGAAGCCGAGTTCCTGTTTCAATATTCACTTAGTCCGCTTTACGGCCTCGCTATCAAATGCAATGCATTGTGAACTCTGTACTGGTACGACACTGCGAACATTCTAGAAATTTTACTTTGCGTTTTAACACAAAAGAACAAAACATGCTCTAATGTATGGCCGCCAACCTCTGAAACTGGAGAGAAATCTGGAGGCTAACAGGGAGAGCTTAGCCAAGGGCACCACGGTGGCAATGCAGGAGAGAAGGAAATCGCTATGCGTCATGACGTACTTGAAAAATTGAACATAGAATAAATTTTGGCCGAGATAAAATCAACGAGAAGAAAGGACTAAAAACATTGTGTGGCTTAGTAATTAATGTCGCATACTATTGTGAGTCAAAACAGCCCGAATGATGTTGTGTTAAGACGCACTAATCCGTACTGCTCGCAAAAAAAAAAAAAAAAAAAAAAATGCTCCTGTGACTTTAACACCAGACCACAAGGAGTAGCTCGAATGAAGTGTTGGTCTTCTTTTGGTGGAGAGGAAATAGCAATCGTGATCCACTTCAAGTTACTTACAATGAAATCATTATCCTTTTTAGCTGCGGTGTACATCTTCTGAATCGAATTGAGCTGCTCAGATAGGCAGCCGGCTGGTAGATACTTTGCTGCCATTTCTGACAATTTCAGCGCTTCGCCTAGTCGGCTCAGCTGTTCACTCATTTCTTGCTGCTCCGCATTGATCTAAAGCATTGATTGTTAACGAGCCTAACAAACATAGCAAAAAAAACTATGTCAAGTTTACCCCAGCCTGGTGTAGTTGAGATATTGCTTGGAAACCAAACATCTTTCCTGTAACAGTATGGACCCACTCCTGAAAAGAAAAGAACAATCTGCATAGCCAATGGCACGAAATTCATTTAAAAAATACCTTTTCCCACAATCCTTTTACAGCATCACGGTTCATGGCTTTAAGGGCATCTTGATAAAAGTCTCCCGCTTGCGCTGCGATCTTTACGAGGGCGGATGGCTTCATTTTGTCTGAAAGCCAGTAATGTACTAACGAAGTGAATGGTGATTTTCACTCCTAAAATTTTATAACGAGGCATTACTATGAAACGTCCCTAACAAAACTTGACAGCTTTTAAAAGAACGGACACTTTTGAAATGAAGACAATGATGCGGGCAGCACTTAGAATCTCACCTTTGTAAGCTTTTATGTAGATGGACTCCTGTGCTTGACCAAGCATTATAGCGCTGAGTGCAGCAAGCGTGTCCGGCATAAGATCAGGAGTAGGGTCCTGCTGGACCATTCCCAGCACTGTATCTCGCAGACGGGCAAAAACGCCTATAAACACGGACATACAACCACTATGAGGAGGCTGTAGCAAAAGCTAATGAAACACTGCTCTTTGTGAATAGTAATACAAAAGAGAACTCTGAATTGAAAATAATGTGCAAGTAATACGCAGATCTTACCCGCACTCTGCTGGAAAAGCTTTGCAGCTGTTTTCATTTCCTCATCAGTTAAAAGAGGCTGAGAAGCTGCAATATGCGACATCAAGGCACCACAGTTGAACAGAACCGCTGCCCGCTCGAAGGCTCCATCTGATATCGATAAGGAAGCCTGAAAATATGGAGACTCATTTGCACAACAAGCGGTAGTAACTGGAAACATAATTAAGATTTTGAGGTTTAAAAGCTAATAATTTCACAGTATAATTTTAAAAAAGCGTCAATAGATATTCGATTTACCTTGCTGAAGAACAAGCTTCCCTTGTCGAATGCATCCTTCCATTTGAAAACCACCGGGTTTTGCGTGGCCGAAATGACAATCTTGTTCTCGATAGCAACCAGTTGATCATAGTACCTAAGGTAATTGTTTATTCTATTTACAACTGATAGGCTGGTGTCAGAGTCCGCGATCCTTCGCGATTTTCGCGAAACCTGCGATGGATCACAGGAGTTGGAAGTGCCCGATGAATACTGCGAGGTGTTGTTTAATCCTGCTGCGAATTCTGCTTGGCAGTAAAGATTGGAAGACGAATGTTTGTGGTTCTACTTGTTTCATGTTCAATGTCTATTAGTTCATTGAAATGCTCTTGAATCGTTCCTATTTTTTTCAGGAATCAAACCAAACCAATCACAAAAATTGCAAGTGCCCCATTTGAACAATTGAAACACTGGATATGAAACAAGTGGAATCATGAGCAGTCTCCATTAAACCATAACCATCAAGCAGAAGTGACGGCGGGATTGGAGAACCCTTGCAGTATGATGGCATCTGTGATTTTCCGTGACGTTGCCCGCAAACGCGAAAATCCTCAAAGTTGCGACTCTGACATCAGCATAATGCAGTTCACGCCAATGCGATAACACCTGCGAAATTCGAGCTGCAGTAATTTTTTTTTAAATAAAATAAACAAAAAATATAAGGATATCGAAGACATAGTTTTTAAAAAGCAAAGGAAAAATTGATGAGAGGGTACAACAAATTGCACTGAAAATTTACCGTGTGACTATATCGAGTGCTGACTGATGCTTATCCAATGGCTGACAACATGCTTTTGAACGTAGCTTATTCAGTTCCTGTAATGGTAAGAAAATTTTGAACAAGCTTGACAGCCAACTTCCCCCCATAAAAATAAATTGAAACAATTGCCTTCAGAAGAAGTCCGGCTGTTCTTATTTCGCGCTCAAAATGCGCCTCGAGTAAAGGTATACTAAGGCTATTATATTGATTTTATTATCATTCAAGATTCGATCCGATTCAATGTTTACATTTCGTATTGGCGCAGCGAGTAGCTTATACAATGACTTGGTGGTCAGCGATGTTCTAAGTTCAGGTTTTTTATCCTCCCAGAAAGTCTGGTACATGACTATCATATTATTACCCGACCCCGGAGGGATGGAAGGCTTGGTTGGCCCGGGCGACTCACGACGTAGGATTTGATCCCCGAACCGCTCGTGCTCGCTCGCTTGGTGAGCGTGCCACTTGCCACTACACCACTTCCGCCCAACGCACATGGAGGCTCTTTATTTCGGAAAAATAACATTGATCAAAATCACCTACTTGTACAGGCTTCAGCACTTCCGCTTTGTTGTCCTCTGATGTTTTATAAACAGTATCGATGTACAAAGTTAACGGCTTCACTAAATCCACATCACTTGTGGATTTTAATGGCACAGCTAGAAAGCCGTATTGATTCATCTGAAACATATCATTGCAGAATAGTCATAAAGAGTCGGAGCGACGTTTTAATATGCTTTTCGGCAAAACTGAGCCAGAACAAAAAACAATGAGTCACTCAACTAGCACACAGCTTGCAATAATCAAGCACAGCAAAATGAGAAAAAAAGAAAGGCAGTTCCTAAAAAACCAGTTGCTTAATGAAGAAGAAGACGTTAAGTTACCGTAATTGTAACAAGGCAAGATAGGAGAATGTGGAAGTCTGCACTTATGGCTGGTGGAATAATGTGCAGCAAGTGAAAACATTTTAGATACCGTTTATAATGAGCGTAAAATGCTGGCAACAAAAGTGAGAGACAGTATGATAACCGCGCAAAACATTACATTCAACAACAAAATCTTCAGATATAAAGACCCTCTAAGTATACGGCTCCGAGAAAAAAAATTACGCTATTAGATAGAAATATCAAGAAACGACCTCAAGACAATGAGAGAATGAGTCATCGAAGAGGGAAGACGCGTCCGTCGGCCGGACGGAGAAGGCGCCCACCCCGACCGACAACTGTCCCGTTGCCCTGAACCGTCCATGGGTTGCGTCAGAGCTTGTCGAGTTGAGCTGGCAAAACTGGTTTTCAGCGGCGTCTCGAACTAGCGTTAGATCATCTCAGATCGAGGAGGATCCGGGCGCGAGAAGCAGCAAATCAGATCGATTCTGCCCTCGTTCAATCTCATGGAACTAAAGATGGGTCTTGAAATCAACTAGTCTGGAGAAGCAATACAGGAGAAAGTTATACACAAGTGATCCCGAAAAAAAAAACAAATTTTTTTGGAATAACGTTAGAATACTCTGCAAATTTGACTATTTAATTGATACAACGGCCAATGAAGAAGCCGCAAAGTAAGAGATATATTCCAACTTTTTTGTTTTCCTGAGAAATTCGCTCTGATGACACTAACTAACATAAACTAACGGATTAAAGAATACCACAGTCTCCAAAGTGGGACGAGTGCGAGAACAAAGCACTTAATGACAGTGCTGAAGGAATAGCTCTGTAATGCTATAAAACTCCACAAGTTACCACAATCTTGTTAGATAAAGAACATATGCCAACTGTTCAAGCAGAATTGGAGATGTTTCGTGACTTCCTCGGGTATCAAATGGTACTTTATGAAGGACCAATGGAATGAACTTAAGATCTTAAGAAATTACAAACCTCCGCTCTTTGTAGAAAAATCATCTGACACTGTTTACGCAAACATTGGTTTGTGTCTGCAACTACACAGCATGCAGCCACAAGTGCACTACCGTAACCTCAGCGATGAAAAAACAAAGCTCTTATTTATTTGTCGCGCTCGCGACAGTTCAAACTAGGAACTGATATGGAAAACTGATTGCAGATTCTGAAAGTGAGAAAAGTATAACCTGAACTGAAAAGCCATAAGACATGAAAGATCGTGGGTCATTACGACGTTATCAGAAACGCTGGTCACAAGGGGTCTTCCACGCAGAGCTACTGCCTCCTTAGGAAGAAATCCATCAGTTAACCGATGAAAGAAATCACGTAGAAGCTATGGATGGGGCGATTACGGTGGGCTTCATTGAGCTCGATGAATACGGCAGATGATGTCATTTTCTGAGTATGGTGGGGGCAGTGAAGGGGGTGGAGGCTGTTTCCACACATAGGGAACATCTAAGGGGCTATTTTGCCGCAAAATTCCCATCAACAGCGGCACCTGCGCGACGAAAAGTTTGGTAATGTGTGACATCGGTAAAATGACTCCCCCTCATACTTCAAGTTCCACACCTCGTCTCAGCTCTTGTACTCTGTTTGGCCCGTGAATAGTACTTGACTCGACGCCCTATTTACCCCTTGTATCCACTTAATCGAACTTTTTTCTTTCGAGAGAGTGTGGCGCTTTGTGCCATCAACTTATAAACTGTTGTAGCCATTCCGGGCTTTGTTCTCTTCCGATAGTTTATGTCTTGCAATCGTTCAGTGACAGCTCAAGAGGCATCCATCATGCTTTCTTGTTGCTTCAGTCAATAAATAGGTCTTTCTCTAATGAACATTGAGCAAAACCATCTCGTGAACCGATTTTAAAACTCCAATTCTGCGAATTAAAGGCAGAATTAACGATGAAAAGTTAGTTCATTGGAAATAAAGGTAGA